TTTTCTAAAGATCGGAACAAAAAAAAAAAGTAGAAAAGAAAAATGATTACAGTGCAGATGAGAAAATTGTTGCGAAAAAAATTTTTCATGATAAGAATTAATTTGTAAAAGAAAATGAGTGAAAGAGAAGATTAACTACTTTTCAATTTTTTTATTAAATTCTTAACTTTTTGATGGTATATTCAAAATGATTTTTTGTTCCTTCGGAAATAAATAAGACAGAAAAACAAACTAATATAAAATAATTAAAGCAAAAAAAGTTCAAAGTTCAAAAAGTTGTGAAAATTTGTAAAAATGGCAAATATCATGGCATAAAATATATACAAAATAATAAAAAATTAATAAATATTAACTAAAACAATTAATTTTTGCTCAAATTTAAATGTTAAGGAGAATCAAATTTAAGCGAAATGAATGAAAGAAAGTTGAAAGCTATAGAGAATTAAATTTAAGCTTATTGAATGAAAAAAAGTTGAAAAAAAAAAATTGCATCGTAGATGAGAAAGGTCAAAGTGATGTTAGCACATTAATGCATTATTTATTACATTAACACTAATAACTTTTCCGCCCCTTTATTTATAACGAAGAAATTCTTTCGTTTCTTCTTATCTCAATCTCTCTCTTCTCTTTTCTTCTCCTCCCCCTCTTCTTTGCAAAAATACCAATAAATAAGCTATAAATTAAAATTGAATATTCTCCATTCTTCTATTCAACTTAATCACATGTGTCACATTGCTTACCATCAAAATTAATTCTTAAAAAGAATTAATTTAAATTAAGTAACAAAGTAATTTCTTTCTCCTCTCTCTTCCTCTCTTTTCCTCTTTTTCTCACTTTTAAGATATTCATCGAAGAGTTAACAGCAGAAGAGTAAATTCTTATTAAAATAACAATTTTTAAAATATATTTATAAATTTGAATTATTCATTGCTACAAATGAATATTAGAAACGAATATCAGAAATGATTATGATGAATAATAATTACAAAAGAAAGTTAGTAATAGATTTCCTGTGAAAATTTGCATATGAATATAAATACATGCATATAGTTGTTTTGTTGACAAAAATAAACAATTGTTTTTTTTTTTGTTGATAAAAATAAACAAAATAAATGATCATTGCTAAATCTTTTCCAGTTATTCCGCTAATAAACAATTTCAACATTCTCCCTTCCATTTTTTCATTCATCACAAACAATTTCTTCATTCTCTTCTAATCATTCCCTCTTTTCTCTCCTTTATTGCAATCCATTGTCCACTTCAATTTTTTTTCTTTTCTAAATGACGTTTGATGGATATCTGTCACATTTGTGCTCTTTCTAACATAATTTATTTTCTAAAAACATTTTACATTCTTTTCACTGTCTTTCACTTTTTTTTAGCTTTTGCTAAAAAAAAAATTAATTGAAATTGAAATTACAATAAAGAAAATTGTTCCCACATTTTTTGTAAGTGTTTACCATCTATTACTTGACCTACTAACTCTATTTTGAAAAATTTGACTTTGATGGAGTGAAAGAAGCGATAATTAAAGGTATGACGAGATCAAAATGCATAACAGTCCTATCGAATGTTGAATTAATGAACGATCGAAAAAAAATTTTTTTTTAAATTTAGCTCTAATTTTATGTCCCTTTTAATTCATTTCTTTTTATTTCAATCAGTCGATCGATCAATCAATCAATCAGTCTTCAAATACATGTAAAAAAAAAGAAAAAATAAAAACAAAACTCCTTTTTTGATCTCATCATTAGTGTTGTGCACGTTGTTTGTTTAATATTAAACATAAAATTTCAAGAAACTTATTGTAATAAAATTTGTTCATATTCAAAAATTAAATTTAAAATTCAATCAAATACCCGATCTATACTCTAATTCATTCGAATGATTGTAGGTTGTAAATTAATACAAGAAATAAACAAGCAGAGAATAACAACCCGAAATTAATTTTCAATGTTTTTTCTTCTTTAATTAACGAAATATACATTTAAATAATGAATGTTGAACCTTTGTTAAATCCAAATGCTGTTTTGTTATTTCGGATAATAAAATGAAAAAAAAAAACTATGAGACTGATTAACATATCAAGATATTATACGGTAAATCTATTTCGAAAATCTACCAGATTTCAATCGAAAAAAAAGAAATAAAAAGAATGAAAGGAAGGAAACAATTTCAAATTGTTACAATTCCATTTTTCCGATCTTTGTCAGTTTAATTATCCGTGACATTTCTTTCATTTCTTTTTCTGTTTTTTATTTTTTACTGATACATAAATAATATTAACTAAAAATGAAAATAATAAATAAAGCGAAGTTTTTCCAAGAGAAAAAAGTTTCAATTTTCCTGGTCGTATAATATTTTTGTACAGCATCATTTTATTTCAATCTATACTTTTTCAACTTTTACAAATTTTACTAAAAATAAAATTTGTTTTCCACATGATATTTTTTGATTTCCAATAATATACATAAATAATAATACTACAGAATATATGAAAAACAGGGAAAAAAGATTTTACTTAAGAATAAATTTGATATAAAAAACCAGTATGATAAAATTCAATGAATTTGAAGTAACAATAGATTAGTAAATTTTAGGTTTAATAAATAGATATTAAATAAATAGTTTATGTTTTGTAATGCCTACACGATTACTTCTACTGATACTTTTTTATCACTATCTTATATTTATTGCTTACATAATGCAAACGATATCATTATTTACATCAAAAACGTAAACAATAATTTAGGAAGATGAATGAAAAGTGATAAAGAGAGAAGAAAAAAATTGTCAACTCACTTTCAAATTTTCATTTAAATTTATGACAGTATGAATTGTTAACTGTTTCCAGTGAGATATTGAATATCTTGAACAATGCTCAGATAGAACATTTAAAAAAAAAGATACATATCAAAAAAGAATAATACCAATATTCATTCCTTTTATCTCTTATCCCATCGATCTTCTTGCATCATTTTGTTTTCTTTCATTATCAATTTTTTTTTTCTTTAAATCAAAAATTGTTACTAACCTCTTTCAATAACCTATTTCCATCATTACCATTATCATTATATTAATATTATATCATTGATAATAAATGGATAAAAACGAAAGACAAAACTGGTAATATATAAAAAAAAAAAACAAAAACAAAACGGATACAATTATATCAGATTGACAATAAATGATATGTTATCAGATTTCATCTCACACCACAAAAAATATTACCTTTATTGTATTTTCTCTTCTTTTCTTTTTCCTTCGGCACTTTCAACGAAACGATTGCCAAAATCCAACCCTGTTTTATTCCCGTTTTTTTTTTCCTTCTTTTCATTATTCTTTTCTCTTTTTTTTTTTAAAAAATACTTTTTCTCCTTTAAAAAAATAAGAAAAAGTTAATTTGTTCCAGTATTCTTGCCGCAATAAAATGCTTCTTCTTTCCATCAAAACAGCAACAATAGCAATCATTTTTCAACGGAAACTTTTATCATTATTGTCATCATTCATTTATTATCCTATTCTTTTATTCAAGCAAAATGGACATCATTAAACTCCCATAGCAAAATCTTCATTTGTTGTTGACAGAGTAATTTTGAATGAATAATCAAAACAACAACTTATCATTATCAATCATTCTAGATTTATACTGGTTCTCTAATCATTATCAACTAGATGTGCAAAATTGGAAAGCTTTATTCCAAGCAATAACTATCGATGCTGACCACTAAAACCAGACAGAGTGGACAAAATGACATAACATGATCTTTGTTTTGCTTGCAATCTTTTGATCATTCTCATAATGCCTTAGCAATTTTTAACTGCAATATTGAAAATTTCATAGGTTGTTCGCATGCCATCAAAATGGACAAACACCACACCATTTCGTCTAATTTATCGCTCGTTAAGTTGCTCATGCTTATAATTCCTATTTTAAATGACAGAAACAGTCGCACCATGTGTCAATTTGAATAATTTTGATCGCTATTTAGTATGAAATAATAAAAATAGCATTCCGTAAGTTTATTGATGAGCAAATTTTCCTGTTACAATATATTATAAATAGAATTATTGATTTTAATAGGAATAATCAAACAAACTGAAAATACTTAGTTACCTTTTACAATCATCGAATAATGATTAACATAATTTTTTTCTCTTTTCGTTCCCTTGATCTAGTTCTCGACAGTAACACTAAACAATAGAAATTATAAAAACCTAAAAACTTGCTTATCAATTATCTCATAAGCTAGTCCCAAGTTACAAGAACATTTCAAAAATATACGTGATAAGGCAAAAAACTCAAGGAAATATGTAACTGTATAACATGTTGAATCGATTATTTATCAATATTAATCTCTTCTGCACTGGCATTATCACCAAATTTGTACTCTTCATAAATCTGTTCGTATAAAGCACCGCATGCAACGACTGCCTTCAATTTAGATGCCAATAAAAATGATCCAGAAAGCTTTCGATGCAGTGAGTAGATTTCATCCGGTGGTGATATCAGGCGATGTTTTAACATTACAGGAATTAATGCGTGAATTCTTTTCGTTACATTCTAAAACTTCAAAAATTTTGAGCGATTTCGAAAATTTAGAAACAGACAGTGCGATTTTAGCAACTGAATATACCGGGAAAAGTATTTTAATGAATTTAAATGAATTTTAACTTTTCTAAGAATTCAAACAATTATTTTCTCCGGAAATGAAACTGACACTATGATTATATCCCAAATATCTCGTAACACAATCACCATTAAAATTAAATGCTTTTAATGCTTTTGACCATTAAAAGCAAATAAATTTTCAAATTCTTTTTTTAAAGGTGTCACCTGTTTCGAGAAATCGTATGGAGTTGTTGATGCTAATGTCTCACCCAGAATACTGACTGATTCACAATGAGCATCTTCCATTACCTGCAGTAGTATTTTATCAGTGAAACACATTTTTGGAATATCCATTTAACAGCAACTCAATAACGCAACAATATATAAAACTTGCACTACAAAGCTACCTTTGATTCATATCCCGATAAGAGACCAATTTTCTTCGAATATTCCAGAATCTGCAAATAGAGTAGTTGATGCGATATCACTTTCAAATGCACTAAAAATCTAGTCGACCAGGATTTCCAAAATTAAAGTATGAATCAAAAGCCACCGTTTTAAGAAAACACTTACTTTGTGCTTATCACTGTCATAAGCAGCACGAATAATGTTCATGTATTGGTCAACAAATTTCTTGGGATACGAACGTGAAGCTCCAAAATCCAGAAGAATTAACCTTGGACCATTTGCAGTCGGATGTTTGCCAAGATAGAAATTAGACCAGTTCGGGTCAGTCTAAAAGATATCAGTCTGTAATTTATGTTTCCAAATTTTAAATATTGGCAGTGTCGAACAGCTGAAAATACTTATCAATCACCATTATTAAATACAGAGAAATATGACACACTTACGTAAAGAGAGTCATTCATAAGTCATGAACTAAAACATGAATTACAAATGATTCTCTTCCATAAGCATTTCAAATTTTTATATGGTATAAATCAGTTTATAGTTATTTTTTTCTTTTTATAAAATAATTCACGATAGAACCTAAGACTTATTTGCAGATTCGATAATTTTTTAAGTCGAAAACAAAAGGAATATTCTTGAACACACAAACAGTCTCGCAAAATGACATATCCTCACTATAATTTGGAAAAAAAGTTAGTTAAATTTTGCTGCAGAATCATTTAGTGTTATGTGTGGAACATAAACAAACACAAGTACCTGCATAAACCTCCAGACGAAAATTTCACGGAGACAAAGCTCGATAAATTTAGAAGCAATGTAATTACGAACTTCCTGCGGCTCATCCACACATTTGTCAATTGGAACACCTTGCATGTACTCTGTTGTCAACACATGTGTTGTACTTAAATTATCAATCACCTAAAATTATCAATGATCGGATCATTTGTGAAAAGACACTTTGCGTAAACGATTGATATCTAATATAAAACAATCTGATACATTATTATTTCGGTATTCCGTACTTTTATAGGTGCAAAACGCTCGTTTTCTCTATCCATGATGACATATAAACCAATCAGAGGAGAAAACATCAACAAAAAATGAATGTAATTAATTCTTTTAATTCTTTATCAGACAATCAATTTTCAAATTCACTACTACTTTTTCGGAAATTTTTTCTCTATTCCAAACTTATTCCAATTAGAAATCATGTAGTATATTTCCAGAATAGAAATTAAATCTTTTTTTTAAATAAAGAGTAATTTTTTGGTGAGTAACTCCAAACTTTAGGAACATAAAAATGTTCATCATCCGCTAACAAACGTTGGAATTCTTTCATAGCACGTGCTTCGCGTTTGTAATCGCATTCCAATTTCAATTCTTTTCTTGCCACCTAAATTTTATTAATTAAAAAAACTACGAATGATCCAGAAGTCACAGACTAGTCTTCTTTAACTTAAATCCAAAGATTTTTTTGAATTCTAAGCAAAATGCTGTCTTCTACCTAAATCAAAATTAAACATATTCACCGTTGCGAAATTTTCCAAATAAAGACCCGTCGGAAAGAAGTTCCCGTAGTTCAGTATTGTTACTAAATTATCAATGTCTGAATCAATGCCTGCTGATACTCCAGGATACTGAATTTTTAACGCAACTTTCTCTCCACTCGGCAGCCAGGCTTGGTGAACCTGTAACACCAGAATGACAGATTACTCTAGAATTCTCTCAAGAATGAGGACCGTATAAAATATTTGAAATAAATTGAACTGATTCTAACCTGTCCGATGGATGCAGCCGCAAAGGGAATATCCTCAAATTTTTCAAATTTATTACGCCAATCACCACCAAATGAATCACACATTTGACGGTTAACCTGCCATAATGGCATGAAATCAGCACTGTGTCGAACACGTTCAAATATTTTGAGTAACGTTGGTGATATTAAATCCGAATCTAAACTTGAATTATCCATCGAATCCTTATTTGACACAAAAGATAAACAATGACAGTACCAATATCAGTTATTTGTAATTTGCAGATGTATCTTAAGTTCCACAGATAGACCCATGAATCTATAAATTATGATGAACAGAAAGGATGAAGAATAAGAACCTTGTATGCTGAGCATTTGACCCAACTTTAACGCAGCACCACGCACTCTACATAGAGTACGTACAATCTTCTCTGCATTCGCTTCCGTCATGAACGGATTTCCGGTGGCAGAAACAATACTCTCTGTTGATGCAATTGCAGGCTAAAATTATTTCACTTCAAAACCATGATTTTCGCTTAAAATTTTAGTTTCAGCAAAAAATAAAATAAAATCTCAAACAGAGGTAAATTTACCTTATTAAATCCTAGTGTTCGCTTGCTTACTTCTACAGCTGCGCCCATAATGAGACTGACTCCAAGCTGGCCAAATTGAGCAAGTCTTGCTATGCGGGAACTCGGTACTTTGCGCTCTCGATTTCTAGTATTTAAAGATTCCACTTCCATAGCTTTCAACTGATACCCCTGAATACACATCTCATTTTAAGTTCTGCATGATCAAGTAAGATGAATTATGTAGCTTGATGATATGAAAATCAAACTTCCGGTAAATGTGGTCCATAATACTTTGATTTCGGAGGAAGTACTGACGAAATAGTATTTGCACCGTTCCTGAAAAAAAGCTCGTGTTTTCAGGCAAAACTGGTAATCAAATATTTTAATTTGTACAATCATTCCAATGAACGAATGCTCTTAGATTAGAATTATTTATTAATCCAAAATGAGTGACTTACCTTGGAACATCGTTAAGATCTAATACTTCATTTTTGAAAACTTGTTTTCTGCTTAATCCATTGTCGTTGCTTTTCCAGGATCTATTATCAGAAGTGCTTGAAGGTCCAGCTTCCTATGCAGCAATATTTTAGCGACAAGATTTGCTAAGAACTAAAATTAATTCTTAAAACAAATTCCTTACGAAAGAAATCATTACTTCATGATAAATTTGATGTGTAAGACCCGATGAATTGTTAAGAGCTGTATCTCGTACCGTGTAACCTGCTGTACCTGTAACCACAGTTCAGAAATTTTTTTGCTATAATTACTATAAAAAGATCGATACAGAAAGAACTGAAGTTTCGGACACTTGTTTTTATCACGAAAATTAACACCAACCAGGATATATCCCTTTAGTAGCAAGTTTCGTAATTTCTCCTATACTTGCGGAAACCGTTGTGACACGTCCAAAAAGATCGCAAATTCTATCGAATGTCCAATTTTCACCTCTTCAATTAATTTAATTTCTCAAAAATGCTAAACACTTGATAAAGTATAAGAATTGCTACATACTGTTTGTAAAAATGCACGAAAATGAAGTGAACGTTAATGAAGCATATCGATAAATGTATTGCTCCAGGAAAACTGGCTGTGGGTATTTCCAGTTAGATCTGAAAAACTTACTTGAAGTCAAGATGTCGCATTTGATAGCCTAATTGACTGCGTACCAAAATGCGAAGTGTATTGATTACTGGACCAAATTCATCTCTCCATGGACTACGATTCATCACTTTTCTTTTTCTGAGTCTTAATTTAAAGAAAAAAACCGTTAAAATTCAATTTTAAATAAATCCAAAAATGACTTAGAGTAAATAATTAATCACCTATTCAACAGAAATTTCATTAAGAGTCAAAAACTTTGTACAATAAAGGCGTACCACTGAACTGTTAAGCCATCCAAGTGAAAATTCTAGTAGAAGAATAAATGCAGCAGTCTAAACTGAAAATCCGCTAAAACTTTTGAGAACATTGTCTGAAAATTGAAAACTATTATTTTAAATTCGTAAGATATATAATTACGGCGCAGAAAAGTTAGAAAATCGTTGGAATTCAAGAAAGTCTTGGAAAAAGTTAAGGTTTTTACGACGGATAAAAAAACCTCACTTTTACGAAAAACAACTTTTCCGATATTTATCAACAAATAAGCAACACCAAATTTAATAAAGTTTCACTAGTTGTATAAAACTGAGCAACTTCAAAATTGAAGGTAAGTGATTTAAATGGATTTCTAAAAAGTTTCACAACACTTTTTTAAACATTTAAAAAGTAAAACTACAATATGACAAAATAGGTGGTAGTAACTCCATAAAATGAAAATGAAACCTTGAATCAATTAAAACTAATGCCTATATGGTTAATAGAAGGCTATTTATTTGGAAATAAAAGGCTATATCTGACATAAAATTTATTCAATCAAATTTTCAATCAACATGTTCAATTAACAAGAAGCAACGAGGATGGATAGGCAAACAATCTGCATGTGCAAAAAATCATTGCAATAAGAGAAAAGATGAACAAACCGTTGCAGTGATATGTTTGATTAATTTTCATCCTGAAAATTGTGTTCTATATAATGCCAATTTTTACTTACCTCTTATATTAGAAATTTAAACCGCCTTTCATATTATTTTAAATTTATATGCAAGTTTAATTTAAATTTGTAATTCGCATGCATACCCCTCTACTTTGTGGCTGTCTAAACTTCTCGATGCATGTATCATTTTTTAGATGAAGAATCGTGAGACGCTCCTCAGAGAATATATGCTAAAAGCACTTCATCCGTTCATTTCACTATACTTTATCGACCAATTTTTGCCTCCACCTCTCTTTCCCTTCTTTCCTTTTTACTTCAACATTCTTTACAAGTAATATATCTTGTAGGCACATATACATACATACATACACATACATGCATACATATGCATACACATACACAAATACACATACACATAAACATACATGCATTATCTTCGATTCAGTTAGACCTTCAAAGAAATCCATAAAACTATCTCGTTGTTTAGATTGGTTAGTAGCTTATTTTAGTCTCTTTTCTTTTAGAATTAATTTTCTAGCAACAGTGATTTTAAACTTTCTCAGAAACTTTCCTTTGCTGATGACGTCATGCACGGTCACGTCATCACAGAGGTAGACAGGAATTGCATCATTGTTAAGGTGATATTATTATCGACCTTTTAGAGCATTCACAATATCACCTAGAAATAAATTATCACTTTATATTTTAACCTGACATTATCAATTGTATATCGTTGCATTTATTCCTACACGTAAATTATATTTAAAATTATTAAATTTAGTTACTTTAACATATACGCTTTTTGATGCCTATACATTTCGACATTTCCAAATATGAGATGAAAAGTTTTAGTACTGAAATCTCAAAATTTACGAAATTTTTCAAAAAGTACAACTTCATACGGGACAGAAAAAAAGACAGTTGAAGACATGGGAACAACCGAAAATAACGTTAGAAATTGACGCGTGCACTGCGTGTTCCATGATGATTTCTGATTTCATGTTTTTCGATAGGTTTGTTAGTGATCAAAATCTGTTATCCGAAATTGGGTCTATGTTTGTTTACGTTACTTAACAGTTACTAGATATAGTCGAACGGACGTCTAACAGGAAGAAAATGATTTCTAGCATCAAAAAATGCGGATAGATAAGTGTAGAATCGGGACTAAATCGGATGAATTGTATGTACGTAACAGATAGGTTGACAGGATTGGGAAAAAAAGAGAAATGTGATGAATATGGCTTATTATCATTGTTATTGGCATTATTTACCTCATTCAGATGATGAAGGCTGATTTTTGTTAACTCTTACTCGGAATGGAAAACAAGGACAGACGAATATGAAATAATATGAAATAACGGATAAAATTTTCATACAATTTGTCAACACTTTTTCATATTTGGATGAAAAACGTGGACAGACAAACAGACGAAGAGAGGTAATCACATAGTTGCCAGCCAATAAGTCACGGATGAAAAAAAAAAGAATTTGTAAAACATTTGTTGTTTTCGATGAGATAGGAGAAAGGAGAAAGGAGGGATATGTTCCAATGAAAAATGATCATTTTTTTTTCCAAAAAAAATAAAAGATAAGCTCATACTGTTACTTTTTTGACTAAAAAAAAATTTCTTATGAAATCATCAACTGTGCTTAAATGGCAAATAGAATAAATGAAATCGTTTGACAGCTGGCGTTAATGGTTACTTTCAAGAACACATATAGATAGGAGTGTATCTAACAAAATATTATGTTGTGCCGTTTACGGAATAATTGAAATGCTTTTTTTTCGAGCTTATTTAGCTCAGCCTTAAACGATGCAGCTCTGCATTATCTAAATTGTTGGTGTAAGAAAAAGTAAAGGCATATATAAAATCTTTTTGTGATTCGTGTTTACTTTACTTTCATATATGATCTCTTTTAATAATTTGTCTAATTTTTATATACAGCTAATTTTAATGAATGATGAATGTAATTTTGAAAATTAGATTTCAGTTCATTTTTTCGCATTGTTTATTTGTTTTTTTTTCAGACAATGAGTGATATATCATGGGTAATAACTGAAGCGGAAATGCGAGAAAATGATATCCAATTCTCGTCCCTTAATCCAGTGAATGGATTCGTTTCCGGTGAACAGGCACGGCCTTTATTCATGAAATCTGGTCTTTCACCAGCAATTCTGGCTCAAGTATGGCATTTAGCAGATTACAGTAAGGTAAGGGCGTTTCTTTTCGTATGAAATACTAAATAAATAAATTCGCACTGATATAATGGCTTTGAAATGATTTTTCGGCATCATTTTGTGAGTGCAATAATTCAGGTGTACTGTTTTGTAAAACCGGACAAGTTTTTTAGGATGGTAAGATGGACCGAACTGAATTTTCGATTGCTATGCATTTAATCCGTGCGGTATTAGCTGGTGCAACGCTTCCGCCAGCTCTTCCGGTCTCCTTGAAGGTATTTTATGTGAATTTTTTTGTGGATTAGTTTTTGGATCGATTCTAAAGTACAGTTGAAGTTATGAAGTAATAAAACTCCTTCCAAATGCAGCCATTGTTCTCGCATCACATTTTCGGACATATTTTTTACAGCCTCCAATGGCTATGACCCCATCATTTCCTCCACTGATCGCGCATACGCCAATAGTTAGGCCAGTAATGACTTATGGCGGAGTTCCACCAACTGCAGCGCAAAATTTGATGACTTCTGGGAAAATACAAGGTGATTGGACCATACCGCATCATAACAAATTGAAATATTGTCAGCAGTTCAATCAGCTCGACAAAAGCAGAATTGGATCACTTAGTGGTGTCCATGCAAGGTGATTTGGTTAAGGACATTCCCAGTATCATATGTTATGTTATAACTTCATTTACTTTTGAAAATAGTTTTTCTACAAAATTCCATTTCTTTTTCCAATTTTCATATCAAGTATTTATTTCAGAAATATTTTGGCACAAAGCCAGTTGCCGAACTCTGTTTTAGCTGAAATCTGGAATTTATCAGATCATAACAAGGATGGACGGCTTAGTGTAGAAGAATTCTGTGTTGCGATGCATCTGATTGATTCAGTCAAAGTATTAGTTTTTTATTTTCCAACACTTTATGAATTGGTGGAACATTAAAATAACTGTTCTGACCAGTTATTTAATTACATGTATTTCTCTTATCTTAGTAAAAGTGTAATTTTCAGACTGGTTATTTGCTTCCAAAAACCCTTCCACCTGAATTAGCAACTCACTGTTCACGTTCCGTTTCCGATTCACCAGTGCTTGATCCGAATGCACCCCCTGCACAAAAAATTCAAATACCGAAGACATTTGAAGACAAACGCCGAGATAATTATGATCGTGGGCAAGCAGAGTTGGATCGGCGTCGTCAAGCATTACGTGAAGAGGTTTTAGCTTAAATTGATAGTTGAAACTTCATTGGGCAGTGTAGGATCTTTTTGGAGAGTTTTCTGGTATGAGGTAATCACTGTATTACATTTTTAGGAAGAGCGACGTCGTGCAGAATTTGAGAAGAAAGAAAGAGAAATGGCAGAAAAGAGGGAACGAGAAAGGGAGGAAGCTGAAAAGAGACGTCAAGCTGAACGTGAAGCAGAATTAAAACGTGAGCAGAAACGTGAAGAAGCTCGTCTAGCAGAAGAAAGACGTATTTTGGCAGAAAAAGAGGAAGCTAGAAAAGAAATGGAAAGGCAGCGAAAAGCTGATTTGAATGCTCTAAGAATTCGAGAAATTAAAGTAAGATATCAGTCGATATGGTGTTGGCTTAAGCCAACCAATGATTTCAGAGTGGAAAATTATAGCATGTTATTGCAGGAAATGTTTCTGAAATTTGAGAACCATTAATTGAGATAAAAGCATATATCTTTTTCTCTAGGTTATAGAATTTCTGCAAAATTTTAGGCACAACGTCAAAATGAAGTGGATAGCACTCTGGAACGACAGCAACGGCAGAAAAGTTTATCCTTTCAGCTTCAAGCTCTTGACGAGAAATCAACAGAGTTGAACACCAACATCACACAAGTATTTTGAACTTGCTTGTTTTTATTACTTCTGTTATTCTACTCATTACAGTTTCTGCTGTGTTCTATAATAAAAAGCATAATCTGTTGGGCTAAGCCTTGTGCTGAGCGGTATATACCAAAATACTGGGAGCTCTTTTATCCACATTCAGTTAGAGGAATAATTAATCAAAAAATAACTCATATATTACAGCAAGTTTAATACTTGTGTCACTCCTGCCGCTTTTCTTATTCTTTCCTAGTTTTTGCATAATAGCTGTTCGAAATAGTTGCTGACCATCCTACTCATTACTGCTCTTGAATTTCCAACATTACACAATATTTTGGACTTGAATTTCAGTATTTTGCAGGCAAGAGATCTGATTGTTGGTATAACCAAAGAAATAGAATCAATGAAAGTCAAACGTGATGAAAAAACAGAAAAGATTCGATCACTGGAAATAACAAAGCAACAAGTAAATTAAAACAGCTAAATTCCCTTGTGTTTGATATGAAATTTTCTAAGATTTCTAAGGTTTGGAGCTGTGGAGATATATTTAGTAAGGTGTTTATTTCAAATGTTCAGAACCATTTGTTGTCTGTTATCAGAGTGCTGGAATGACTTATAGGAGACTTGAAAATTTTACGATCGATCTGCATAGAAAATGTTAGCTGAATTGCAGTTGAACGTACAGTATGAACGACTGGCCCACGAAAGTCTCCAAATGCAGGTTGAATGTCGTAATAGAGCGCAAAAAGTCGAAGATCTTGAACAAGCGAAAAATGAAAAACAATCTCTGATTGCTCAAATATCTGCTTTGAACAAGCAATTGAAGGATGCAAATGAAAGAGCAAAAGTTCAACAACAGCTGGTTACTAAGGTGATAATATTTTTGCTGATTTTATTTTATAAGATTTTTTTCATCTCTTTTATTTTATAATTTTTTTTTTTTTTTTATGAAGGAATAAGATTGTAGAAAGCAGAAGAATTGAATGAATGTGTTTTGAAAATGACTCAACTTTCGACGCTGCATTCTCAGTTGTACCAACAGATTAAAAATTTGAAGCCGAAAGTGAATACCATAGTTTCCGGACAAAATGGTGATGCGCCGAATGCTATAACAACATCCTTATCGAATCACTCAGTTAGCAAATCTCCATCAGTTGATTCGAGTATGTTTTATAGCTAATAACTCGTCTTTATCAAACATGAATTATCTTGGATCTGGTTTTGGTTTTTCATGAGTTCCATAGATTATAGATATTTGAAAGCTGTTGGTTTTTAGAAAGCGTTACAAATGGAGCAGTGCAACAGTTTTCCGTGCCCAATAATTCATTACCAAAAGGAAATGGTGCTACCGGTGCAGTGAAGTATCGTGCATTATATGAATTCACTGCTCGTTCAGGTGCATTTTTTTAAATCTCTATCACTTTTTCCATCATGTTTTGACTTTTAGTTTAGAAGTAATTTTGCGACAGTGTAACTAGGACTTATAGATGACGAGCTTAGCTTCCAACCAGGAGATGTTATCCTTGCATTTGAAAATCATGCCGCAGAACCGGGCTGGTTAGCTGGACAGATGCGCGACAAAGTAGGGTGGTTTCCCATAGCATTTGCCGAACCGATGGTACCTGTCAATGCTGTTCCTACGCAGGTAATACTTTAACTTGCTCAGGTAGTTCAGTAGCTATTTAATTTCTTTCACTCTGCCATTATTTATCTAGTAAATCTAAGTGAACAGAATTCGAGAATGTTGTTTCAGCCACCACAGACAGTATCATCTGTTACGACTTCTCCATCAAGTGAACCGTTGCAGAGTATTGTAGAGGAACCAGCCGCATCGATTGTTAAATCAACTTCAGGATCTTTCGATGCTTCATCGACGGGTAGATTATTGTTTACTTAATGCTGTTCTTTATTGTCAAGTTTTGCGCTCACGACATTCTCTGAATTTAAGAGTAGCGTTTAAATTCTTCAGAAATAGAAGCGCTAGATTTATTTCGATACAGTTATACATTTTTAATATTTTTACCATTTCTGTTTCTAGACCAAGAAAAACAGTTGCCGGTTCTGGGAGCAGCAGTTGCATTGTATCAGTGGAAGGCGAGAAATGATAATGAATTGAGTTTTTCGAAAGGAGATGTCATCGAGATCCTGGAACAACTGGAAATGCGTTGGAAGGTCAGATGTTAAGTATCGAATGCAGAATTAATGTTTCTTCTGAAATGACTGGAAATTTTCTGTAATACGAATGATTATAGAGACATAAAAACTGCCGAATTATATAACGACAAAGTTACGCTGAATTAAATTGAATTAAGTTTTGATTTCTCGAAATTTTGGATGTATCATCATGGGTAACTAGAAAAAGAATTATCAGTATGAATATTAGTTTGGCGGAAAATAGATACTGATTCAACTATCATTAGAATTATAGATTTAAGATATTTTGGAAATCCAAAATTTTTGCAACTTTAATAATATAGAATATTCCGGATTATTTTGCATTTTTCAGGGTCGTAATAAGTCTGGCGCAGTTGGCTGGTTCCCCAAGTCATACGTTTCAATGTCAGGTGGAGATGCTAAGGTCGATTTGAAGGACAATTTGACGAAAGATCAAGTTGAAAAGTCAAAAGAATCCATGGGAAAGGATACTTCTGTATCTTCGTCTACTCCTTCAGTTGGTGCAGTATATGATGTTGTTACAGGTTGGTTTTTTAATCCTTTTTCTTTTAAAATATAAACGGATTAGGATTTTGATTTACTTTGCGGAAGTGGTCTTCAAAGTTGGTGCTTTTTTTAGTGTTTTTGAAATATCGTTATTTAATTATGCAGTAGAAGTACCGGCTGAATCGACATCAGGCGAATGGTACGTGGCATTGTATGATTTCCAAGCAATGGAACCAACAGATCTCGATTTGCATGCTGGTGATCGTATTCTTGTTACGGAAACAATCAATGAATGGTGGAAAGGAACTTGCAATGGACGAACCGGAATTTTCCCCGCAAATTATGTGCAAAAATGCCCATCTTCATCGGGTGATATGTCGCAGTCAGGTAAACTTCATTATTCTTAAAAATGCTGCAATCATCTGCTTCTTTTTCTTGAAATTAACCGTTGGCATTATCAATTTTTGATGTGAATAAATCAAACAGTTAAATTTAGAAGGTGCAGACTTGGGTACGGGCAGGGCTATTGCTGATTTTGAATCCACTGCCGAAAATCAATTATCGCTGAAAATTGGTGATATGGTGAAAATCCAAAGCAAATCATCTTCTGGTTGGTGGCAAGGCGAGGCAAGTTGCACATTTCTTGTTAGAATTTTCTAGCTCACTTACTCCCTCTCTCTGTGTATACTGGAGTTACGAGCTAAAATTTTCGGTTGAACTGATATTCATGGTCTTTTTAGTAAATAGAAAAGGAGAAATGAAAGTGAGAAGTCAAGCAGAATCTTGAAAAGCAGGAAGATTTCCCAAGGAAAGGTAAATCTTGAAGTTAGTAACGAAAAAATCCTTTTTCTGAATTGTGATCCTAGTTGGAATTCCAGGAGGGTGAAGAGCAGATTGGTCTTCAGTTCGAGTCCCCAACTTCAATCTCATATATTAATATTAAAGTAATATTTTTGCAGATTATTTCCGATAGTGGAGCTAAAAAAGCTGGTTGGTTCCCAGGTAATTATGTGGAAGTATTGGGTGGAAATGAATTGAAGGCAGAAGCCTTATATGATTATCAGGCTCAGCGTGATGATGAATTATCCTTTAAAGCTGGTGATATCATAATAGTCACTGATCAGAGTGATGGCGAGTGGTGGAAGGGACGTCTGCTCAGTGACAAAAATACTACTGCCGCACTCTTCCCAGGAAATTATGTTCAGTTGCGGTAAGTTATTTCTTGTTTCTTCTAGTAGTGTTTTAATTAAATACCTTCGGTATATTTCGGTGGGACCTTGGGAGCACTGCTAATTCAAAATTCGGTCTATTTTAATGAAATTCTTTTGAAGAGCTCATCGATTTATTGGAATATGAATTAAATTTCAAAATAAAAAAGTCCAAGTCTTGACGTTATTGAACAAATTGATATATTTTAATATAAAAAATTGAATTTCCTAATGGAAGAATTAAGAAAGTTCTAATTCGCTCTTCGGTTTTATCTTTTTAAATTTACTCTTAATTGTGATATTCTTTCATATGGATGAGGTTGACTTCTAATTGCTAGGGAAAAGGATACATAGCAAAGATAGCCATGAATCCATGAATAAAATTATATAAAGCCATATCCACTGGATGAGTTTGAAAAGTAAATGAAGCTTTTCGTATTTTGACGGAGGTTAATTTGATTTTATGTTATATCGTTATTTTGGAACCTTTAATGGGTCATTGAGAACTCGTCACTTATGCTTCCTGTGTTCATTTTTTTTTTAATACTTTACTAGCCTGTTATCATAACCTAGTTCTCACGAAGATCCCAAAATGCAGTCGAATTTAACTTGATTATTGTTGATATTTTTTTTTTTTTAAAAAGCTGGTTACCACCTCGCATTATCGTATAGCTTTCCGGTATGTTAGTAGCTCTGGTGACGGCCACCTTCTGGTCAGCATAAGTTCCATAGTATTGACTTCTTCCTTGTTCCGAAATGAACTGTGTTTGAAATACTAAAAACTTTGTTTAAATTTGATTCAATTTGACAGTTCTGGTCTTGAGGAGATGAAACTTTGCAGGCAGTAAAATATCTTTTCTTCGATCATTTCGGTCGAATTTTAATGCGTTATTTCTCCGGGATTTTGAATTTATTTCTACTTAATTAGCATCGTACTCGTATAATTCATTATTATCGAGTCAGGTAAAAGTCATCATTTTATCAACGCCTAATATTTATTGGTTCGAGATATATCTGTAAAGGTAGGCAATTATTTTAATTTATTGTGATGGACTGGTACTATTTTCACTAATGTTAGATTATTTTGTTATTGGATTGTTGATTAGTTGTCCTCTTATAGATATAATAAATATGTAACAGTTATATAAAAATTATTATTTATTTCAAGTGATCGTGTTTGAACTTCCTGTTTTTCTTTATACTTTAAAGTTCGGAAGCTCCTTCAGAATTGTATGTTTTGATTTTCAAATTAGGTTCATTTTTTCTTTGAATTTCCTTTTATTTTTTCTTGTTCTTTAGCAGCATTTTATTCTTCCCTTGCTTTGCGCCAAATAGTACATTTATGTGGTTTTTTTAATGTTAAATCTTCACAATAGTTTTTTATTAACAATATTTTTTTTACCGTATGATAGGACATAAATGCATGGTGATTTTTATTTCTTAGTCTGGTCTCATAATTTTTTTTGTAGAGCTTCGTCACAAAATTCACTTTGTTATCAGTTAAAGATTCGCTTTCTGTTAAACTTAAATTTGTGGGGATTATGAATCCCATCAGGTATCATTGACCTGATTTAATTGTCAAAAGTCTGAATTTATAGAATTTTCATAATCATAATCTGTAAACGTATATATATATATATATATATGGTTGCTAGATCTTTCACAGCATTATTTAAGCCTAGATTTTTTTTGTTGTACCGTAATTGCTTGTTACATTATCGCATTAACTACTTAATTACTTGGTGCTTGATTCAAGTTTCAGGCAATGAAAGTCCTTTATTCACCGCAACAAGTTATAATTCTGTATATATGCTTCCATATGCCAGTTTGCTTAATTTATTAAAAAAATTCATAGTTGCCGTTGACAAGGTTGTTGCAGGCAACGCTGCGAATAAATTTCAAGATGCTGAAAGGAAGATCAAAGGCATCTAGAACTTTGAAAGTTTTTTAATTTGACATTTCTGAATTTGAAAAAAATTATAGTTGTTTGCAACAGTTAGGTTTCTGCTTGCTGTAGCTCAAAGATGAGGATTCTACTTACTTTGCTTCACAAAGTAGTATCAAGCAATGGCATACTTGTGTGGATTTCACAACAATCAAAAAGTTAAGGGTTTAAGCATGAAAAAAAAGTTTGAGTTTGAATTCCCCAATTCAGAATTTTTTAAGTTTTAAAAATTTTCATTTCTTCCAAGCTATCTACGAATCTTTCAGATCTTATTTAATGTTGCATTGAAAAAATATATTTTTGGAGTAAATTCTTAGATAATTTTATGCGCTATGCCACTGTTTGAAACAGTTTATATTTATGCACTGCGTTATTCTGGATTTTTTTTTTTAAAGGTATGCATTACACTTCAAGTGAGTGTGCTGGTAATAAGATCTGGATCTTATCTAGGATAATCGAACAGATACGACCATTGTTGTTCCAAAATCCTGTTGAGTCTTTTTTTTCTTTTTTTCATATATTGGAAAGACATCTTAGCTTGAACTACACTGATATTCGTTAAGTCGTCAAAAATTGTTTAGCGGTGGGGCGTTTCCATTGCAAAAAATAAGCAAAACTTTATCCATTTTCCATCTTGGCTCTATTATATGGCTTGGAGGTAAACATTTCAAAATAGACAAATCCAAAATTTTTGGATTTTTCTTAGAATTCATTTTTAGCGGGTGCACATGGGTTTTCATTTTTTTTTAATAAAAATTCTCGAAATCAAAGCACAAATTGTTGCGATCATTCAGTGCATCGCGTAATTGCACGTCAGGAAAGGAAGCTTTCGATACTACTGAACTGTTATATAAATCTGAAGTTGATAAATTATCAAACACTCCGGAGAAGTGTAATACAAACCTACAGTAGTATCACGAGTGAAAGGCGTGCACAGTTTGTGTCTTCATTATTAGTTTGTCATTTACTTCCATTATTTTCGTGGTCTTAAATTTTTTCTAAAAAGATTGAAGCCTAAAATTAACATGCTGATGGCGCAAGGTGAAGGCTTTTATTTATATATTTTGCATTTGTCATTTGAAAGACAGTGGACTGTACAGATAAATTCTATGTTAATGAAAATTGATTTTGTACAGCATTTAAAAGAAAAAGGTGTGTACGTTACCAGAGCGAAGCATACTGTAGAAGGGTTTGAGTGGATGCTATCAAACAAAAAAGTGGAGATCGAGTTTTAGAATTTCATGGATTGGCATGCTTTATGTAAGACTATTCGGGAAGAGATTTGTGGGTTTCGCTTCAAAGGATCGAAGGAAGTTTTTGTAGGGGCCCGTTGATTTTCCGAGGTCCGAATAGAATTTCTAGATATTCATAAATTCTTTGGATGCATTTATATCTAATGTCTTTTCTTGATGCATCCAAGAAGTGCAGTATATTGTGAAGAAAAAGTGAACATTCGGTGAGAGGAAAAGTAAGGAGTAGTTCGAATTCCCATTTGCTATATTGATTTCAGCGGATTTCATCTTTTTTTTTATTTTCTTTTTTCCATTGAAAATGTAAGCATTGCAAATTTATGTGAAGTGTGATGTTGCAACAAAGGTCTGTTTAAATATGGACTCTTCCAATGTCTGGCTTTTTTATAGTTGTCAAATATTGGGGAAGTGAGTACATTTACGTGAAAATTACAGATGAAATGACAAGAACGCAAACATGGAAGTTGATTAACTTGAAAATTAAATTTAATAATGTTTTATGTTATTTGAGCATTTTTACTTTATTTAAATTTGCAACTTTATTTAACTTCTTTCTGTTCAAATTCTGAACGTATAGAATGAGGCAAAATAAGATAGAATTCAAATAATTCAAACAATTTTGATCAAGAAGAAAGTATCAATTATTGCAATTTGTAGTTTTATGGTTGGAAGATAAATTCACGGATAATCAATATCCTCTCTTATTTGATATGCATATTATATGTGAGTCGTGACATAAAATTTGTTCCAATTCCGTTGGATTAAATATTGTGTAAATTGAAAAGAAGAAGAAGAAGAAGAACCTGAATGGTTTTGATGTGATTACATTTTCTTTGATATACAATGCATATAGACTAAATCATTCTTGTCTACCTTCAAATTTCAAAGTAATAGGAAAATATTATTCTAGAAATTTAATAAAACTCGCTGAATAATTAGTGAAAAAGATGGTTGAATGGGAATGTGAGATGAGAAATATATGAGAGGTACACTTTACAAATATATCAAAAATGATTAATAATGTTCTCATACATGTAAAGTTTTATGAAATTTGTTGAATTCAAAAGGAAAATTATTATGAAATATGTCTTTTTTTCTATCAATCAGTCATATTTCTGATACTGATATCATCGTATTTTTCTTCTCTCAGATATAAGATGACTGGATGTGTAAAAGTTTTGAAATGTTTGATGATTATTAAGTAATTCAGCAAAACTATACAACCAGACATCGAAGCATCTCTAAAGTCAGTGACATCATTGCATAGTCCAGTTATTACAACCACTGATCAGTATTCCACTATTGCTTCTAAATGTGAAAAAGTTGCAAAGGTATGCCAGTTACTGTTATAATTTTGATTTATACATACTAATTATTCTCTTGTTCTAGCTGTAGCACGTTTCGAATTAATGAAAGCTTTCAAATGTTTTTTTTTTTCTTTCCATATGTCGATGTTGATTAAAACAATTATATATTTTGCAAAAAAAGAAAATTTCCAATACATTAGAAATATTTGAATTTTTTAGGAATTGTTGGATACAGAAGTGAAATACTGCCATGACTTAACACACTGCTATGAAGTATTCGCTCAAGGATTACAAGGCATAATTAGTACTAGTCTTGCAAGCCAATTATTTTTAAATTTTGAACAACTCATTTTTGTATCTACTTCTATTGCTAATGCACTTAAACAATTGCCACCTGGTCAGTTTCTTTTTTCTTTTTTTTTTCAAAATTTCTTTTAAATAATGGACGAAATCTATGAATGTTAATTTAAATAAATCTTTTTTAAAGAAAGGACCGATTAAAATTGAGAGTGGTAGAGAATTGAAAATGTGATTGTCATTTCATATGTTTATTTGCTCTTTCTTCCTAAGCTATAAACTGGCAGATGGGATGGGGATTCGTTGCTCAATCAGTCGAATGTTGCTCTAAATTGAATACAAATTGTTTCTGCCTTTTTTAAGTCGATCATAGCGAATTCTTTTCATAAGTCAGTTTGTCATGAGAAATTTTCTGGATCCTCATAATTATGACAATGTTTTTTTTTGAGGTGATGTATTTGTGGAAAAGTTTGATTTGCTTCATGCTTATGTTGAATTTTGCTCGAAACAACAAGCAGCGTTGGAAATGCTAAACGAACTTGAACACAGCAATGTTTCCTTTCGACAAGTAATTTTTTTTTTTTTGAAAAATTTTTTAGTTTGCTGTTATATCGCACTATAATTTTCGATTTTCTGAAATTACATTCATTCCAGGCGTATCGTTCATGTTGTATAAAGACAAAAGGAATAAACTTCAGTTACTTCTTGCTCTTACCGATGAATCGCATTACTCGTTATCCGTTAATTTTCGAAAAGCTTGTCAAATATACGGATCCGAATGATGCTAAATACAAGGTTAAAACTTCATTTTTTTTCCCTATTTTTTAATTGTTTTTGGTTTTTAAAATTTATGAGCTACATTTGCAATTATCTCTAAAGTGAACTTTTCTTTTATCCAGAATCTTGAAAAGGCGTACGAGCTATTGAAATCATTATGTACCAAAATTAACGATGTCATCAGCGCAATGGATAGTTCCAGCATGCTTATTTGGGCCCAGCAACATGTCCACTGTGAAGCTATACAACCACCTATAGTCTTTCCGTCTTCTACACGGTGCTTTGAAGTTTAAATCTGAATTTAAAACTGGATGGATTTAAAACACGCTGCTTTTGATTATATAAAGTTTTTTATTAATTCTAGAAAAGTTGGACCACGACATCTTTTGCACTCTGGAGCTTTACAGAAGCAGTTCAATGGCAAAATATTGGTTGCTTTATTATTTAATGATTTTCTGATGCTAACAACACCTATGGAACCAATCGAACAGGTTTTAGCATTTCGTATTTCTTTGTATGACTCTGAATTAAACTAGCGAAATAGTATCAAACTGTGTGGATACACATATTTATATAGGAAGAAATGATAAGCAGTGCCTAACATCAGGCGATGATGTAGCATATTGAATAATAGATAAAGGAAGCTACATGCTCATATACAAATATGAAAAAGACATGAGCACTGTGTAAATCACGCTATGACAGGCGTAAAAAACGTAGTAATGAGAGTATACAAGCCAGAAATCGGAAGTTTCATATAATTTCTTGTAGCTGGAGGAGTTCAGAATTTCCAAAACAAGTGAATTTCAATTAAATCTTTATAAGATGCCTTTGTTGTTGGAAAATGCTAAAGTTGTGCAGAGCAAGGAAATGGATGATTGTTCATTTGAAGTTCGCTCCGGTTAGATTTTTTTGGATTTTCTCGGTTTTTTTTCACATGTAATTTTCTGCAATGTTTTATGATTCCTAGCTCGTTACATTAATAATTCCTCAGATGGATTTTAGGTGAATTTTCTGTAATATTGCGTGCACCAAATCGAAATGCTCGGTTATTTTGGATTGCACAAATTGAAAAAGCCATTAACGAATATCATAATCAGTGCCTATTGGTAAAGGTTTGCCATATTTTACATAACAACATAAACAAGCATAGGAATTATCAGTTTCAAAGAGATAAAATTTTTTTGAGGATTTATCAGATATCTTGTATAGTCACAAATGTTTTTCAGAAACCGTCGATATCCTCTGATATGTCTGAGCAAGGTCGACTTTTCGTGGAATTGGTTTGCATTCTAAACGTGGATAGTGCGTTGAGATTATTAGGAACCCAATCAATACTGTGCAAATTTCAAATCGGTCAATCCTCAACCTATGCTGATGTTGATATCAACAAAAAGGAGCATCTTTGTACAACACAACTGCCTATCTATAAAACTGCTTATGATGATTTTTTCGAAGTAGCAATTTTTCTCAACCGAGTCTTTTCGCCAGATCTTTGTGCAGGCATGTTTGACATGTTTTAATCATAACTGAAAAGATATCCTTTATCTGCTTGCTTTCACGCTTATATCAATTCTTGTCTTTAAGGGTACAATTTATAATTTCTTCAGGACAGTTACCCTTTGCTCACTTTGCCCGTACTCTGTTCATTGTTTTAACCACTATATTAATCCACTGTGGTAGAGATGTACCGACTTTGTAACCTTAGGTGATAATAATTCTTGCGAATTTCATTATCCATTCTCGCGCATGGCATCTTTTGCTTGCTTACTTTTTTAGACACGTGAATTGTTTTTATGAAATCTTTTGAAATGAAGAAAGTGAATTTTTTCCAATTAACATAGAATTTCGAACACTTTCGCATTACAAGGCCTGGAAATAACAGAGTATTTTAGTTCATTAATGTATTTTGAAATTTTTAGGTAGCAGTAAAATTGCAATGGCGGATTTGTTGACAACCGCAACGATGCATCGTGGTCCAATGTCTAAGCAATTTGATTGTGAATCAGGAGATATATCAAATTTACGACCTCGTGTAATTCTCAAATTCGTTGTACAATTATTCTATTGAATCCAATAAATTGTTTCTATACATCTGTTTATTAAATACTATGTGAATATCATTGATCGCTCTTTTCGGTTCTAGTAATAGATTTTTGATCTACAAATGTTGAAATCGATGATTCTGGAAAGAAGTGATTTCTGAATTCATAAAAGTGGATTTCAATATTTGAAATTTGATTAGATTTAAACTGGATTGAATGAGCAATACGGGAGAGAAAATTGGAAAGAGAAGCGAGAAGAAGGGAGGTGATCAGTCTTGAAATTACACGCAAAATAGTGCATTGATGAATTATGGAGGTATGTTAACGTATTGGGGTCGTAAATTAGTTAGAACGCTGATGTAAAGGAAAAACAGCATGGTTTAGATATGTTACCTGGATGGCCTTTAATAACAGTTGGAGCAATCATAGCTCTATTTATGGCGTTTGCTTTACATCATATCGAGGAGGGACATGTTGGAGTTTATTATCGAGTATGTATTTTAACTGTATGATTAAGAGATTTTTGAAGTTAGATTGAAATTCTCTTCTTTTTCGTTCCTCAGATTTTCTCAAAATATTACTATTACTTATTTCTCGTATTTTTTTTGAAGTGTAAATTATCCATTATATTTTATTCTCAAAGGGTGGTGCTCTGTTAACCCGTGTCAGCCAACCAGGATATCACTTGATGTTTCCGTTTTTTACATCATACAAATCAGTGCAGGTCACTTTACAAACTGATGAAGCAAAGAATGTACCTTGTGGAACAAGGTAAATCTTGAAGTTTTGTTTTTATCTTTTATTTCTAGTTATAATAAATTTCTTTCTAAAAATCGCAAATAAATACCTCATCATAATAACGTTTAAGGCAGTAATCGGTTATTTTCTCAGTTACTAATAAACTCCTCATAGAATTGCAAATCATATTCTTTAAGGCTAGTTGAGGATCATTACATATGGTTGTAGATAAATTAAACGAGCAAGATAGGCAGCCAGTGACGGTTGTTAACCAAATGATCTGTTAATTTTTTAAATTGGAAAAGACATTTCATTTGAATTTTCATTTCAGTGGTGGTGTTATGATTTATTTTGATCGAATCGAAGTTGTAAATATTTTATCTTCATCAAGCGGTAAAGGATTTTCCTGATTTACCATCGGTTCTTAGTGAAACTTTTTAAAGTCATTTTTAAGTGTAAAGATTAAATACCTTTTTCTATCGCTATTCAATTTTGGAATTACAGTTTACGATATTGTGAAAAATTACACGGTAGACTACGACAGGCCATTAATATTCAACAAAGTTCACCACGAAGTTAATCAATTTTGCAGTAGTCATACACTTCAAGAAGTTTACATCGATCTTTTTGGTATGTTTTCTAATATGTGTACATATCACATCATTGCTAGTTCATTATTTTGATAACATCCTTTTCTTTTTTCTTGTTTCTTTTCTCTGTACAAGAAATATGTTGTACTTGATGATTTTTTAATTTGAACTGCTGATTTTTTTTCAGATCAAATTGATGAAAATTTGAAAACTGCTCTACAAAAGGATTTAACAAGAATGGCTCCTGGCCTTTCCGTGCAAGCAGTCCGAGTAACAAAACCTAAAATACCAGAATCAATACGACAGAATTATGAGCAAATGTATATCTTTTCCCACTTTGCTGATAGTGAAAGAATGCATAATAACTACCAGAAGTTTTAACGGTTGATATTAATTAATAGAGTAAATGAAATGGTTAACATCATCTTATATTCTATTATGAGTACTTCGATGTATCTTATCATGCTATTAGATGAATGTGGTGAAAAGTCGTTATTTCACTCATTTTCATAAATTTAAGCTTTGTTTGTTTTAGGGAAGCTGAGAAAACGAAACTTCTTGTAGCTATACAACATCAAAAGGTGGTTGAGAAAGAAGCTGAAACGGAACGCAAAAAAGCTGTTATAGGTAGATTTTATTGTTTTATTTGTTGTTTAACTAATTTTTTTTTCTATTATTAGTCGCCTTCACGTAACGTTGCTGTGAAGGCGGTTAATAGAAATTATTAAGGGTATTGTGACATTTCAACATTCATTCGTTCCATCATCCTTTTTCAAATGCTTGAATTCAAAATTTTTTGGATGACATCAGCTGTCATTCATGGGAAATAATGCGATTTGGAGTGACTGATCGCATTGTTTGTTGTGAAGTCAAGAAATTTCAAAGTAATGTTTATTTGTAGCTTTAATGAGGAATTTGGCATTATTGACAAAAGAGACATTATGGCTTAAAATAGTGGAAGTTAAGTGAGAAGTGAAATATGTGTTAGGAGTCTATATATATTTAAATCACTGTAGTTAATTTTTTGAAAATTTTGAATTGGTTATTCAAAATTGTAGAAGCGGAAAAAGCTGCTCAAGTAGCTGCTATTCATTATAAACAGCATATAGCCGAAAAAGAAGCGCAGAAAAGGATTTCTCAGCTGGAAGGTAAAGTTTTCGTCGTACTCCATTTGAATCTTCTTTGATACTCGTTTTATGTTAGTTTATGTTCGAATTGCTTCAAATTTTAGATGAAAGTCATATAGCTCGAGCAACTGCCCGTGCAGATGCTGAATTTTATTCAAGAAAGAAACAAGCAGAGGGTAATCAGATGCTATTAACCAAGTATGTGTAAAAGATTCATTAAAGTATTCAAAATTAACGAAAAATAGTACTTTGTAAACTTGCGAATTTATGAAGAATATAGCCTCGAGACCATTTGATGGCCGTTATCATCATAAATCTAAAACGTATAAATTTTTGAAACATATCAACTTTTTATTTTAGCGAATTCTTGGAATTGAAGAGAATTGAAGCAATTGCAATGAATAACAAAATATATTATGGTTCTCAAATACCGAATGCATTTTTGGACATTGACTTTCCATCTGTGCCGAAACGATCCACAAATTGAATGCATTTTTAGACATTGATTGCACAAATTGAGATATTTGTCTATTATACCAGCTTTACTGTCATAATTCAACATTCGCGGGTTGTTTTTGTTATTTTTCCTGGTGATTCAGCGCGACAAGATCTGACCATACACTCATCTGGCATGTTTTAACATTCATGGATTTTACATTGACAAAAGAAATTGCGAGTTTGGATTAAGAGTTTTAAGAAATCTGGCTTTTATTATTGATATTCTTCTTTTTTAATCCTGATAATTTATGTCATATTTATTATTAAAGGATATCAAGCATACTAGCAAAAAGAATTTAATTTATCGAAATTTTTAGAAATTTCTGATGTGACTTGTAAATTTGTTCTCCTTCTGAATTTATTATGATATTAAAAAATTGTTATAATTCCAAATATTTCATGTGTGAAACAAATATTACGGTTTTGTTTGTTTTTCTTTCTTCCAATTTGTTCTCTAATCTGTATTATTTTAAAGTTGTTTTATAAAAAAAAAAAAACATATCACTGATAATGTCGCAACAGAAAAAAAAATCATAACTTCTATATCATTCGTCTATATCCCACAATTAATATTACAATCATTTGTTTGATAACATGATGAATAAGTGAAATGAAGAGAGAGAATTATACATTATTAATTCTTGTTTCTCTCCCAATAACTCTCCAAAATTCATTAACAAAAAAAAAGGATAATACCTAATAAACTTATTTTCTGTATCGAACAAGGTAATGCATCCGAATATACATCCGATTATTATTAACATCTGATTGTTAATTCCCATGCCTATGAATTCCAACATAAACATTATTTTCACTTAAAAAATCCACCAAAATTTTAAGTTATGGT